CCAGCAGCCCCCCAACCCTCCAGCATCCCCTCCTGCCCCCCCAATATTCCCGACCCTCCCCCTCCGGATCGCCCCACCATGCCCAACCCAAGTCCATCCTGCAGCCCCCTCCCAGGTCCCCTCAAGAGCCCCTCTTGGTCCTTCCACCACCTCCTATATCCCTCCAGCATCTCCCCCCTGCCCCCCTATCATCCTCGTGCCCTCCTCCCCTATTCTCCCCCCTTGCCCCCCAGCTCAGCACCCTCCCAGGCACCCCACTTGGGTGCCAGCCCTGCGCCCTCGCGGCACCCAGGCCCCATCCCACTCCCTCCGCAGTTTCCTAAAAGCCATTGCCCAAATCCCTTGGGTTTGATATCAGAAAGGAAGCCAGAGATCCAGGAGAAAAGGGGGCGGGTGGCTCCCTGGGACTCCAGAACAGCCGGGCAAGTAAAGGGCCAGGAAAAGGAAGGAGAAATGGAGGATTCTCCCATAATGAGCATTCCGCGCAAGGGGTCACAAATGCCGGGAACGTCACTCGTCTGGAGCCGGAGGGGTCTTACAGCACTAAAACTCACCCAGAACAACTAGACCAGGGTTAGACAATTTGAGCAAAAACTCTTCTAACTGCAGTATTTTTTTAATATTTATTAGTTTATTAAGTTATTAAATTGGTCTCAAACATGGGGCTGCTGCCRCACGTACCAGTCTCAGACTCCACAAGTTCATTTCCTAATGAAATGGGATAAAGAAACATTTCCCTCTTGTTAATAGAGGATGAAAAGCGAGGGCAAAATATTAATTAATGGGATCGGGAGCAATTTCCTCTCGGTGCAGATGGTCCAGAGGGGTCCATCCTGCAGCCGGTCGCCACTCCGCTTATTGGCCATGAAAATTCCTGGAACTAATCAAGAGATTGAGGACAGCTTTAATAGAGGGAGGGAGTTATTTTTTCCTTGCAGAAGCTTTGACTTTGCTCTTGCTGTGAGAAATTTAAATATTTCATTACTCTCCCATCAGGGGCATAAAATCTCATCAGTCTACATCCTATGGAACTGGTGATCCGAATTCGGCTCCTTGGAAAGCACCCAATACAGGAGCTGGTGGGCGCCTGCCGGCAATGCCTCTAGAAAACTTCAAATATCAATATTTTCCACCCAAACCTGTTGCCCAGCTGATTTGTGGGCTTGTTTTTCCCCTAGAAACCAGTGCGTTGTTGCCCTCTCCAGCTTTTTCAAGCCTCAGTTTTCTGGGAAAAGTTAATTTTTGCTGAATTTAGATCAAAGGAGAAGGGCAACGGTTTAGACTTGCTGTAGTTTGAACCCAACGCTCACGTTCCCACTCAAAATGCGAGTGGAGGGAGCCCAGAGCACACAACTATTCCTGCAAATCCCCTCCGCGGAGACCTCCGGCAGCCAGCACAGAAGCAGGTTTCATCCATCCATTTCATCGACCTGCACTTTTCCTCTTGCTCCTTCCTGGAAACAACCATGATTCAACTCCGGCCTTTGCAGAAACGACACCCACTTCTGCTCCGGGGAGCCCAAGCTGGGGAAAAACAGTAACACGCCACCCACTCACTGCAGTTGAGACAACTACCCTGCACTTAAGGTTAGTTGGGAAACAGAGGCATGTTCATGCCAATGGAAAGTGCAGGATTAAAAAAAGCAGCTTCGCTGTCACGGACGACCATCTGGCTAGAAGAGGGGTGACTAATTGCACTCTACAACATGACATTTAAAAATATACCAAAGGTTGGTGATATAAAATAAAACAAAACAACGACAGCAACAAAAAGGCCTGGCATAAAGTTAGTTTGCCTGGAATTGGGCTGCTTTCGCACCCTGACGGTGAAAACTCAGCAGGGGGACGGGGCCACCGCAGCGGGTGCGGCGCCGCCAGGCTGGGCCTGGCTCCTGAGAAAAGCCATGCGCTCTTGCAATTCTCAAATCCAATTTGCTGGGTTTGTTTGCAAWGCGGAAAGGCCTGAGCTGCTTTTCTCCTTCCGGCGATCGCGGGGTGCCAGTTGCAATTTTCTACCAAACAAATCCCTGGCTCCATCTGGCTTTGCGAGCTGGCAACGTGGCATGTCATGGAACAGGCTCCTCGGCGCTACCGAATGACACTGGGTGTCTGCAAGAGGGAAGTTCTCGCTGCTGGAGCTGCATCTGSAATTCAAAAAGTTGCACCGTGACACAAGAAAACCCTCTTTGACCTTCTAAAATTACAAAATTTGCAGGAAACACACATGTTTGCCATCATCTTCACTGCGGTTACGGCAAATTCATGAACGCTGCCACATTTCTGGGAAGAGAATGGGGTCGTTATTGTTATCTGTGCCACTAAAGATGCAATTTCTTAGCTGGAGATCCTGATCCACAGAAACAAAGGAGAGTCTGGCCACCACTTCAAKGGAAAGAGTCTCAAAGACACGACAGCAACAACATTTGAGTATCTACTTGCTAAACACGAAGTCCTGAGAGGTTTTTTTTTTCCCAAAAAGGCYCACTTGGAGCTGGTCGTTGCTCTGTGCTTCCATATTCCCAGCCCTGAAGGCATCTCCCTTTGCCAAATACAAGGACATCTTCTGACAGAGAGAGATAAAACAGCTCGGTTATACAGGTTATTTATGAACGACTGTGATCTTCCTGTGATATCACTATGAATCCACACACAATGAGCTGCTCCTAGGAGTCCGGGCAAGACTGAAGCCTTGCAGGTGAACGAGCTGCCCGACAACCGGCTGCTCGGCAGCGTCGAACCCTCAGGAAGAGATCTTGACCTAGGAAAAGGTCCCCTAAATGTGATGGTTCTATTAGCCCAGCGGGTCCCTGAGCCTCTTACTCGGCAGTTGCTTTCCAAAAGGGCCTAAACAGAGAAGCAGGATGAAAAAACGTATGTCGGACGCGGCCCCACACTGCAGCCAGGCTCCTCTCTGCTCTGCAAACACCGACCTGGTGCCAATGAACCTGCTCCCACCAGCAGCAGGATCCATTAATCCACCACAAGCCGCTGAGCCAGAGCTGAGGAGGTTTTAGTGAGCAGGGAGAAGTGTCCTTGCCCCTAAGGGGCTTGCGCAGGGACCACCAGTCCCTCTCGCCGTGGCGTGGGTGGCACTTCACGCTCGTGACGCCGGAGCTCTGCTCCCAAGGCCAGTTCAGATCCAGTGATGTTAAAAATCGTCGCAAGTCTCTCACCCTCTCACCAGATCTGTGCAGTTTTTGAAAAAGGCAAGGTGGATTTTCAAATATTCTTATTTCTCTATGGAAGGTTTGTTTCGACTTTTCCTGATTTAGGAACATTTTGAGGATTTTCTGTTTGCCACTGAGCTARGGCTCCACTCGGCCTGCATACCTCCAAACTCTGGAGCTGCCTGATGTCCATAAAGTTCAGCAAACCGAGGCACATCAAGAGCCCTAATACAGCCCATCCAACAGGGCAACAGGGATCAGGTTCAGGGCAAAACCAACTTAAACAGAACTGGATCGCTACCTGAGCACATGGTGTTACCTGAGGTGCAAATATACAGATTTACAAGTGCAAAGCCGGAATCCTATTTCATATGGGCTAAGACATGCTTCAAATAGTCCTCTTGGGCTGCTGTGTCCGAGGAGAAAATAGCCTGGCAAAAGCCACAAACGCGGGTGGGCTCCAGGGCAAAGCCTGTGCCTTGTCCTAGGCTCTCCTCCAGTGTCCACGCCGGCGTCCAGCACGTCTGCAAGGCAAAGGGGGGTCAGCAGGAATGGCAACCACTTTGCAAGCTCCGGAGCAAGCACAGCCTCCCTCCCGGTTTGCCACAGCACAAGGCAGCCTCTCTCCACCTCCAAATTCAGCTGCCRTGTAGGGCCGGCACCCTGTGCTGGATTCCGGGTGCCTGGGGCTGCTCCGTTCCCCCTCTCTCCATCCCCACCTGCCTCCTCTTTGCTTCGTGGCACCTCAGCATCTCCCATCACCCATCGCTTTTCCCTGGAGGCTACAATCACTATCCAGGCCCAGACACAAGAAAAGTGCTTTTCAGGAGAGCGCTGATAATTTCTTTTTGTGCCATTATCATTTAAGTGCTGATAAAGTACATTAGGACTTGACAAGCCAGTCAAGGCCCGGCTTCCACTTCTTCTTCTCTTCCCCTCCTTCTTCTTAAAATGAAACTAGATTCTAAGTATAGCTCAGGCTGAAAGTCAACAGCTTTCGCCACGAATRTGTCGCCACGACAGTCATGAAATARCATTTAAAGGTCTTGTTCAGAAACAAAAAGGAGTGAAAGGAAACAGGCTTGGCATTATAGGAACCTTCATTGGTGATCCAGGTGTGCTGACCCATCCATAACATCATTTAGGAAGGTTTAGCATGGGGATTGAGGTGGGAGATTTTAGGATGCATTTAGGAACCATCCTTTTGGCAGCACTCAAAGCAGACAGCATAAAGGAAATACAAGTTCATTTACAGATCAAAAGCAGGTCAATACCTTTTTTATCCCAGACACTGAAACAACAGCCTCAGAAAGTTCTGAATCAGAAAGGATCCGGGGAAAAATTTTTATCCAAAGCACACCAGGTGCTCAGCAGCTAGATCGCCGCTGCTTTTATGCAGCTAAATGCCACAAGAACTGGGAAGTTGGGCACCTGGAGGTATTTTGGGGATGCAAGCTCATAACCCTAAGCCTCTGCTCTGTCCTGGTTCCTTACTTTTTTGTACGAGGCTTGATGTGGAAATCGGGAGGATTCTAAAGACTGACGGATGATGCTTACACTGGGAAGGATTCCCTAAATGTCAGAGACAAAAACCCCTGTCCCAGTTTACCTTCATGGGCCCTCGGATTTCTACAGGAACATGAATCACAGCCGGGAGAGCAGTGTCACCAGGTGCATCTTCCCTCTGTGGATCTCCTGGGGCTTCATAGAGATGCAGGAAGGAGTCGATGGCCTCTGGGTCGGGTGCCACAAACTCAGGCAGGTCACAGCAAGCCCTTGCTTCTCCCCTGCTGCCTTTCACGGTAGGAAGCATCCCGTAATTTTTCAGCCACGTTTCTAAATCCCTCTTCTCGCTCCTCTCCATCTGGCTGCAGTGCTGGCTGCCCAGAGGAAGGTCAAGGGCCGCTTTCCCATTCCCGTTTTCAGTGCTGGGGGGGTCTGTGACGTTGCAGGAGGGCAGCACATGGGCAGCGTGGAGCTGTGTCAGCGGATGGGCAGGGCTGGGGCCAGCTGCGATGGACATCAGGGCCTCGCTGCGTTCCCATTGGCTTTCCAAGGGTTTTCCCGCTTCCCCCATCACCATGTCCTCCGTGCACTGGACCGGCAGCGACATGGGGATATCTTCAAAAGAAAGCGAGTTGGAGCAGTTATTTCTGGGACCACAGGGGTGGAAGGTGGGCAGAGGTGCCCAGCAGCCGCTTGCTCAGCACACAGCAGCCTTTACCCTGCACAAATCCCTTCTCACCACAGAAAACATCCCTTAACATCAGGAAAATCTTGTAAAACCCCRTGGGAGGGACATGCTGCTGCAGCAGGGAATATGCATGTTCACTTCTTGGACCAGGGCATCAGCCAGCACATGGTGATTTTGAGGGGAGCTCAAGGAGATTTCCCCAGGTGATTTCTAGCCCTTGCAGGCTCCGTTGCCACCCTGAGACTTTGCTACTTTCCAAAAACGCTCTAATCAACATCAGGCCCAGCCACCCCAAGTTCCTCCCCTGCAGTCCCCGGGGTAGAAACAAGTAAACAGCAGCAAAACCTCTCTTGGGATTTTAATGCAACTGAGAACAGCTGCRTGCAGGTTATTAAGCATTTCACAGAGCAGGCAAAGCCAGAAAGCCTGACCRTGAGCAGGCTGCAGCGCTGCCATAACTCAGAGCATGTTTCTCTCTCAAACTGTATCTCACGTTACCTCCACTTTCTGAAGTAAACCCTTTGCCAAGAGGAGGGAGAAGGCTCAAATCCCTCCTGCCACCCTGGATCTGCTCTTTTAGCGCAGAGTAAGTTCACTGGACGCTTCCCAACACTGCTCCTTACCAAGGATGGGGCCCTTCCTTGCAGTCAGCTTCTGCAGGAGTTTGCTCTGCTTCGCACACAGCTCCTGCAGCCGGGCGACCTCCTCGCGGAGCTGGACGAACCCCTCTTCCATCTCCATCACGCCTGCTCCGGAGAAAGACAAAAAGAGGATGTTCAAACGTAGGGCACAATTCCTCTTTTTTTTTTTTTTCCTTTGCGGTGCTCAGTCCCAAACTGCTCTTTCTGCTTTTGAAAATATTCTGCAAATGGAAGTGGAGTTCATGGTGCACGTAAAGCAAGTATTGTTACCACTAAGATAAATATTGCTGTGTTGGACACAGCACACTTCACCTTGCTTTCGGAGCTATATTGGGCAKGAGACCTTCCAGTTTTACCATATCGCACATGTATTACCATTCTGAATAAATAACAACTCAAACCAAAACATGGTGTACATCTTCAAGCCATCTGCAAAGTATATTTTAATTTGAAAGGTTTGCACATCTCTATTAGCATAAACATGCAAATCAGCTTTGCTGCCTGCCACATTTTCCAGGTTTTTGACTGCTTCACACTAAAAATCCAAGCTCTATCTTGGTAAATAAGGGTATTTTAGTAATGTGTTCCATGAAGCCGATGGCACTCAAGGTGACAGGGAGTTCCCGGAGCGGGTGAAGCAGAAACTGGAAAAACTGCAACTGGCACGGAGAAAACTTCTGACAAAAAGGTACGGCCCCTTCCAGCACAGGATGTTTTCTGTGCTTCTCACACCACCAAAACAGCCGCGACTGTAGTTTAAATGTATTTTCTGCTGATTTGGTCCCTTTGGTCTCTTAAAAACCTGAGGATGCACCCTCCAAAGCAACTAGCTCCACTGCTAAAATGTGACATCAAAGCTTAAGAAGATATATTTTGTCTGAGAAATACATATAGCTGTGCCTAATAATTAGTAGAGACTGTGTGTTCGGGGGCTTTTATTCCCAAGCAAGCCTGTATTGATTTAGGGTGCTTAAAGTTGGTTTTTCAACAGCTCCCTGCCTCTTAATCCTCCCCACAAGTTGTGTTTTGGGCAATCTTCAACGACAAACTTGGAGATTTTCATCTCCCGTGTAACCTGAAAATATATTTCACAAATTTTAATTAAAGAAGGAGAGAGAAAATTAAAAATCCTTGGAAAACGGGATGCTGGGGCTTCTCCGAGCCCGTCTCAGGCCGGTGCTGGCAACATGGGGTAGGACCCGCTTTCAGCCATGTTGTCAAAAATCCCTTGGCTCCTGGGGAGCAGAACTGGTTTAATCTGGCCAAAAAGAAAAAAAAAAAAMCACATTTCCACTCAGCAACCCCAAAAATCCCAAAGCGCTGGATTTTTTAAGGAGAAAAAGCTTACCCTGGCAGGGGGTGCTGCTCCCCCGGGCTGGCCGGCTGCTCCGCGGCATCGGGGCCGGCGAGCGGCAAGCGCAAGAGCTCCGCGAGAGCCAACTCCGGCGCAGGGAATTTCCCTTCGGTTTTTATGTCGCCAGCGTAACGTCGGCGCGGCGCCGGGACAGGAAACGAACGGCGCGTTAGAGGCAGCGCCGGGGGCCTCGAGCGGCCTCGGAAAAGCCGATGGGTTATTTCGGAGGCCGAGGACACCCCGGCTTGGCTCCGGTCTGGCTCCGTCCTCAACGTGCCGGGCTGCACAGGGCAGGCGCCGTTTCGTGCCTCGCTTTCCCCCTGCTTTTCTCTAGATCCATCAGCGTCCCGACATGGAGGCTCGTGGTATCTGGGCTTCCACAATCCCAGTTACCCCCTTTTAAGGTGGCCAATGTTCAAAATAACATCCCGCTAGTCCCAAATAAGGGTCATTTTGCCCCAGGACCCAACTCCAATCCTCCCTATCCGCTGTGTGGTCCCAATGCCCGGCTGGGATGCGGGAGCTTCCCTGCACGCGGGGATGGCAGCTCCATGGAGACACCTCCATCTAGCGTCAAAAAGAGGCTGTGAAGAGGCTGCGACCCTGCCCGCGGCTCCGCACCCTATAGGGCCCTGGCCCTTATAGACTGCCAGCACCTCTGCTCAGGCCACTATGGTCCCTACAGGCACCTCTAACTGCCAGCAACCCCCTAGCAGGCCCCTATAGCCCCTATAGGCCGGTCTAGCTGCCAGCAGCATCCTTGGGGTCAGGATCCCATGGGCCTTGGAGGCTCTTGTCACTCCCCGCACCACCTGTGTTAGGCCCCCTATAGACCCCCAGCACGCCCCACATCCCGGCCATTGGGCCTCTATGGCTGCTATAGGTCCCCATCACTCCCTGTATCCCCAGTGTCAGCCCCCTATGGTCCCTGTAGGTCTCCATCGCTCCCTCACCCCAATGCCAGCCCCCTATGGCCGCTATAGGTCCCCATCGCTCCCTACATCCCCAGTGTCAGCCCCCTATGGCCGCTATAGGTCCCCATCGCTCCCTCACCCCAATGCCAGCCCCCTATGGCCGCTATAGGTCCCCATCGCTCCCTACATCCCCAGTGTCAGCCCCCTATGGCCACTATAGGTCCCCATCGCTCCCTCACCCCAATGCCAGCACCCTATGGCCGCTATAGGTCCCCATCGCTCCCTCACACCAATGCCAGCACCCTATGGCCGCTATAAATAGTCCCCATCGCTCCCTACATCCCCAGTGTCAGCCCCTGTGGTCCCTGTAGGTCCCCATTGCTCCCTGCATCCCCAATGCCAGCCCCCTATGGTCCCTGTAGGTCCCCATCGCTCCCTGCATCCCCAGTGTCAGCCCCCTATGGCCGCTATAGGTCCCCATCGCTCCCTCACCCCAGTGCCAGCACCCTATGGCCGCTATAGGTCCCCATCGCTCCCTACATCCCCAATACCAGCCCCCTATGGCCGCTATAGGTCCCCATCGCTCCCTCACCCCAATGCCAGCACCCTATGGCCACTATAGGTCCCCATCGCTCCCTACATCCCCAGTGTCAGCCCCTGTGGTCCCTGTAGGTCCCCATTGCTCCCTGCATCCCCAATGCCAGCCCCCTATGGCCACTATAGGTCCCCATCGCTCCCTCACCCCAATGCCAGCACCCTATGGCCRCTATAGGTCCCCATCGCTCCCTCACCCCAATGCCAGCCCCCTATGGCCGCTATAGGTCCCCATCGCTCCCTCACCCCAATGCCAGCCCCCTCTGGCCCCCTCTGGCCCCTACATGCCCCCGTCGCTGCCCACCCGCCCGCTCTCCGGCCCC